GAAGGGTTAAGGTCAGGAAGGGTTAAGGTCAGGTGAGGAAGGGTTTAGGTCAGGTGATGAAGGGTTAAGGTCAGGAAGGGTTAAGGTCAGGTGAGGAAGGGTTTAGGTCAGGTGAGGAAGGGTTAAGGTCAGGTGAGGAAGGGTTTAGGTCAGGTGATGAAGGGTTAAGGTCAGGAAGGGTTAAGGTCAGGCGAGGAAGGGTTTAGGTCAGGTGATGAAGGGTTAAGGTCAGGAAGGGTTAAGGTCAGGTGAGGAAGGGTTTAGGTCAGGTGAGGAAGGGTTAAGGTCAGGTGAGGAAGGGTTTAGGTCAGGTGAGGAAGGGTTTAGGTCAGGTGATGAAGGGTTAAGGTCAGGAAGGGTTAAGGTCAGGTGAGGAAGGGTTTAGGTCAGGTGAGGAAGGGTTAAGGTCAGGAAGGGTTAAGGTCAGGTGAGGAAGGGTTTAGGTCAGGTGAGGAAGGGTTAAGGTCAGGTGAGGAAGGGTTTAGGTCAGGTGAGGAAGGGTTTAGGTCAGGTGATGAAGGGTTAAGGTCAGGAAGGGTTAAGGTCAGGTGAGGAAGGGTTTAGGTCAGGTGAGGAAGGGTTAAGGTCAGGAAGGGTTAAGGTCAGGTGAGGAAGGGTTAAGGTAAGGTGAGGAAGGGTTTAGGTCAGGTGAGGAAGGGTTAAGGTCAGGAAGGGTTAAGGTCAGGTGAGGAAGGGTTAAGGTCAGGTGAGGAAGGGTTTAGGTCAGGTGAGGAAGGGTTAAGGTCAGGTGAGGAAGGGCCCCAATATCTTAGTCATTTTAAGAGCTGCTTCCCTCTGAAATACTTTTAAAATATGCCACTTACAAGTGAAATACATCATCTGAAAGCTGGGAACCTGAAGATGAACTTGAAATGCAGCTCAGCACTGTGTGTTAACTTTTACAAACATTAACAAATACACAAGTTTATAAGCGATGAAACATCATGATTAAAGCTCATGATTCCATTCCCATGCTCAATCAGTCTCATATGTTGCAGTGTGTTCACCTGTTCGTTCTCTTTGTAGTCCTGTAGGGCCACACATTCACAGCGGTCATCCTCAAGGTTGTATCCGGTGGTGATCTGAAGATCAACATCAACTTTTACTCATTCAACCTTTACCAGCAAACAGTGAAAACATGTTGCTGTTATTTAAAACAACACTGATGTATGGAAGTGTGAGATGAAGACGTTACCAGTCCATTGGTGTGGTTACACATGTCCCACAGGGGGATGAGGGCCAGAGTGATGCGGCCCCCGTCCTCAGTGGGGATCTGGTTCTGCCGTGTCATCACTGAAGACACCGCCCACCTGCACACACATCAACATTCAGTGTTAAAGGTCAACATTGGTACTACCAAACAGAGAAGCCTTGCATCAGATGAAGATGGAGAGAGAAGGAGGGAGGATGGAAGGAGAGTGGAGAGTGAACACAATGGAGAAGCAGCAAAACAAGTGGAAGAGAAAAGCAGGAAGGAGGAGAGACTGGAAATCTAAGTCAAGCTTACAGTGGAGGCAGTTTATATAAATATGGAGCGGGGGGGGAAATCATTCAATTAAGAATCAACATTTTAAATTATCTGCACTATGTTGATGGAACACTAAAGGACATCGTGCCGCAGGAATTTGAATCTGTTAGTTGTAAACTGTTCCATAGACGTCCACATGTACAATTTAAAGTATCCTTTTGTTTCATTCATCTTTGACAGTAAGAAGACTAACAAGTTTCCAAATGATTGTGGTTATCTTTTGAAATTAAAAGTGGTGTACAATGCTTTAGCAAGCAGGTTGTGTTATCAGTTGTGTTTACTACCTGAAGATTGTAGGCCCTTTTCTGAAATGAATTATACCATGAGCAATCCAAATCAAAATCTGCCACTAAGATCATCATCCTAAACTTAATCCTGATTTTGGAGTAAGACTTCATAGGGGAAATGTCAGTAGTGATCCCTCTGAGTGTACAGAAATACAGAGAATAATATAACGTTTATATTTTACTGTTTGGGGTCAGTTTCTCTTCGAAAAAAGTTTGACTTTTTTTTTTGTTATGACCAATAGGAATGATGGCCAAACCTATGAATAAAACACCTATGTTATATTTTTCACAGGGACAGATTTGTAGAAAAACATGAATATATAGTAAATGATAAGACCATGTAGAAACAGACTCATTCTGCACACACACTTCTACACACACTGACCTGTAGTCATCAAACGTGAAGCTGTCCTTCAGGGGCAGCTTGCTGGCAGCGGGGTGAGTCTGGGGAGGGAGGAGAGGGAAAAGGGGGAAAAAGGGAAAAACAAATCAGAATGAGGAATATTATTAAACAGGTATGATGGGGGGGGGGGTGGCTGCCTGACAGGGACGCCTAACAAGGAGGACTGGGGGTAAGGGTCCAGCACTGTGTGTAGTGTGACACTGGCCCCCTTACATAACTCAGTCAACTTAATCTGTTGTGGCCAGCAGCCATCACACATCTGCCTCATCCATTTAGCCTGAAACAGGTGTGTGTGTGTGTGTGTGTGTGTGTGTGTGTGTGTGTGTGTGTGTGTTTTTGTCAATGCCACCAGTTTCTCCATTTAAAGCCACAGCCAACACCTACCACAGTTCAGTGGATACATAATGAAGAAAAGGCGGAGAGGAGGGAAATGAAATGGAAGGACGTAAAAAGAGTTCTAAGAAAGAAAAGCAGAGAAATGACAGAGTAGAAGAGAGTGTGAAAGGAAGAGCACAAGCTGTTATTCAGTGTTAGTCAATCAAAGGAAGTGATATTGTGATGTTGATATTGGGATTATATTCCTCAAATGTCAATACATCTGAAAGGGGCTTGTGTTAAGCCCTTCATGTACACATTGTGTTAGCTTTACAATGCTGCCGAGCACCTCTTACCTGAACGATATGTTTTAGAATAAAGGAATCCTTTTTGGAGAGTTGCTCATTTTTTTGAGTCAGATGGAGAGTTTTGCAATTTATCAGAATAGTTTAAATAATCTTGTGATTTTGCAAACATGTGAAATTGTGAACATTTTGAAAATCAAGTTATAACAATGCACCAATATATTTATTTTAAGTCTAATTTGAACATAAATCATATGTCGCTCTGATGGTAATCCTGACTCCCCCAGGTTAGAGCTGACACAGATCTCTGTCCCCCTGAGGGTCAGGGACAGTTCGTGAGGACATGGATAGACTAGTCCACACTTCAAAAGCTCACCCATTAACACAACATAACATATCTTGTCTGTTTTATCTGTGCATACATACAAACATTTATTTTAGTCTAGGGGGAATTACATTAATACATCCTCCCAGCAATGATGTGCTCACCACAATACTGTGAACAAGTGAGCTTCTTAAAAGATTAAATAAAAAAAAAGGTCCCCTCTATAAAATGCATATATACGTATATCAAGGTTCAAGGTTCTTTGAACATATACAGGACTGTCTCAGAAAATTAGAATATTGTGATAAAGTTCTTTATTTTCTGTAATGCAATTAAAAAAACAAAAATGTCATACATTCTGGATTCATTACAAATCAACTGAAATATTGCAAGCCTTTTATTATTTTAATATTGCTGATTATGGCATACAGCTTAAGAAAACTCAAATATCCTATCTCTAAATATTAGAATATCATGAAAAAGTATACTAGTAGGGTGTTCAACGAATCACTTGAATCGTCTAATTAACTCGAAACACCTGCAAGGGTTTCCTGAGCCTTGAAAAACACTCAGCTTGGTTCAGTAAACTAAATCACAAGTATGGGGAAGACTGCTGATCTGACTGCTGTCCAGAGGACCGTCATTGACACCCTCCATCAGGAGGGTAAGACACAAAAAGAAATTTCTCAAAGAGCAAGCTGTTCACAGAGTGCAGTTTCAAAGCACATCCACAAAAAGTCTGTTGGAAGGGGGAAATGTGGCAGGAAACGCTGCACAACCAAGAGAGATGACCGCAGCCTTAACAGCATTGTGAAGAAGAGTCGCTTCCAGAATTTGGGGGAGCTTCAAAGACAGTGGACTGAAGCTGGAGTCCAGGTATCAAAAGTCACTGTTCACAGACGTGTCCGGGAAATGGGCTACAATAGCCGTATTCCCATGGTCAAGCCACTTCTGAACTCAAGACAACGGAAGAGGCGTCTGACTTGGGCTAAGGAAAAGAAGCACTGGACAGTTGCACAGTGGTCCAAAGTCCTCTTTTCAGACGAAAGCAAGTTTTGTATTTCATTTGGAAGTCAAGGCGCCAGAGTCTGGAGAAAGGCTGGAGAGGAGCAAAATCCAAGTTGCTTGAAATCCAGTGTGAAGTTCCCACAGTCAGCGATGGTTTGGGGAGCCATGTCAGCTGCTGGTGTTGGTCCACTGTGTTTCATCAAGCCCAGAGTAAATGCAGCTGTGTACCAAGAGATTTTAGAGCACTACATGCTTCCGTCTGCTGAAAAGCTCTATGGAGATGAGGAAATCATTTTCCAGCATGATCTGGCACCTGCCCACAGTGCCAAAACCACCAGTAACTGGTGTACT